ACTGTGAGATACCTTTGCAGGATGCCCTCTAAAGGATGCATTCGCCTGTACATATATGAAATTCCATGTGTAAATATGAGCAGACCTTTTTTGTTATACCTATAAGTGCTATAGATAGTTACGAGCAAACTAAGGAGGCATATGAAAGGTGAGTCTTCGTGCTTCAGTCTGTCTCTGTGGTCTTAATCTAAAATTTAAGCATATTTCAGTAGTGGCCGCTGCTCGAGGGACGCGGAAACGAGAGCAGCAAAAGCAGACGCAAAAGAAAAGAAGCGAGCAGCGGACGACGCTTGGACCAGTTATCATATTAGTAGGCAAATACGAAAAATGAATGGTGCATAACCCTTTCTCCAGCTATATTTAATCAGTTATCAGTTAATGTTAATCTACCTAAGCTAATGTTACCTAGACTCGATGGGTAATCACTTAGTTTAGCGCCGGAGATCCAGAGAGCAAGAGGAGGAGGAGGCGACAGCCAGAGGAGAAGAGACAAGAGATGAATATGCCTAAGCTATAATTACGATTACCAATAACGATAAACGATGCCGAGTGAATAAGTCTAAAAGGTTTGATGAGCGTAGTTAGCCAACTTGCATCGAACGACAAAGCAAAACTATAAATCAAGCTAAGCCAAGCAAAGGACGAAGAATAGGAGAAGAGGAAATATTAGGTTTTATTGATAAATTACCGATGAACTCATCATGAATCACACCGTTGATTTAACGTTTTATTAACTACGTTTAATATTTCATCATTTTCATTTTTGCTTTCGCATCAAAAAACATAATGTTTATAGCCAAAACAGAAGTACACAGATACGAGTACGTAGCGAAAAAAGCTATGTCTCCGCTAGTCCCACAGGTTAGGGTTACTTCTATTATTTAGAAATATTATATATAATATATATACGATCGTTTTGAATCATTGTAACATTTTAACGGATGATCTTGTTTGAGCAAGTCGTTTTTTGTTTTAAATAACTTGATTATGGGGATTCTCGTACTTAGTTCATGACTTAAGGGATCCGATAACACAGACACACCTGAATACGCCTAGACAAACTTATCAACCCCTTTTTCCTTTTCCCCCAGACCCTGAACCCCTATTTTTATACTTAATCGTATGATCGCGTGGGTAGGACTTACATTTTAAAATTGCATTTGTTTCCACATAAAAGCAATTTTCTCAGTTTGATGGTTTCACACGTCTATTTCAACAAACAAAGAACGAAAACGAAATGAATTAAGAAGTTAGTGCATTGCTAAATACACTAAACTAAATAACACTAAACTTAATCCTTACAAAGCGTAGGTGGACACACAGCTCAGCTCAGCTCATAAGACAAACACACTATCTAATGTTATAATTACGACTTAGGACTCTATACAAAAAGGTGCCATAAACTAAAAACCATACACACACAGACACACACGAAATTCTATGAGGTTTAGGACAACACACACTCAAAATAGGCATTTAAAACGAATTCTTTTCATTAAGGTTTTTTTTCTGTCTCTCAATTTGCAAAGATGCTGCTTTATCCTCGCCCCCAACCCCAAATTATTGATGCTCATCTTAGATTAGGATTGCTTATAACATTTTAATTATTATTTTGCCTTTTAATTATTCACGATTTCACGCACAAATTGATTTATGGAGTCTTAATTTATTTTGAAGTGTAAGAAGCATGTAAATTAATCCTTGAAGCATAAAAACAATTGGCAAGGGAGAAGAGAAAATAATCAGTAGTTTTAAGAGCGTAAACACGATATCTACAAACTATTCTAGGCAATAAGAATTAAGTTTAGTATGCATATATATGGATATTCACACTTAACTTAACATTATTTCTTCTGTTAATTATTTTCCTTATTTGAGAACAAAACGGCTCCGCCCTTTACCACTTCCACTTCCATTTCCACAAACCAAAACCAAAACGAAAATATCATGTTCATTTTTTCATTCACACACAACTTTACCAATGAAACGAAGAAAAAACCGCGTATTATTTTTGTTCTCTTGAATTAATTGCTTATGAACCCACTGTGAACAAACCGATCAATGTTTTTCCAAAAGAAACAAAACAGAGTACTAAATCTTTCATCCAAAATCAAAAAAAAAAAAATGAAAAACGAAGGAGAATAAGAAAAATGAACTCTAAACGCAAGACTTCCAACCAAAATGAAATTGAAAATATAAGAAAAAGGAAACTAAACTGAAAATCAATATATATAAACACATATATTTTGTTTCTATGAAAACAATCGAATATGCTAAGTGCCTATACTAACTAATATGTAACATACGAGAGCAGGATACAGACCGACCACTGAGCCAAGAACCAAAGTGACCCCATTCGCACATCAAATGGCATCTAATCACACACCCCACCACACTACTCACACTCACACACACAACTGCCTCTAGGACATAAACAGCTTTCAATCAATCAATCAATCAATCAACCAATTGATCCTTCACTCATTAAAGTCTTGGCAAAAGCCAGGATTCCGATAGTTCGCTAGGGATGAAGGCCACATACAGATAGTATACCTTGCTCAGTGGTTCGTCGCGTACCCCCGCCACACAAAATGTATCTTTAAATAATTCATAGTTTATAGTTTGTATCTACCCCCTCCAAATTGAAGAAAAAGACCCAAACTATATAATATCCAACTAACCCCAACACTCAGACACATATTTCTTTGGAAAGTTCTCAAATGATTTTGTTGTGCTCATCACTCACTGTCGGCTGCCAACACAAACGAATACAAAATAACACACCATACACACACACACTCACACACACTGTACAGTTGAACCTCAATAGGGCGGACTGCGACTGGGACTGCGGACTGTGCTTTAGGTGAATGAATGATGGATGAGAGACAGGGGTTTAGTGGCCAAAGTGGAGCTAATGGACTCCATGGGCGGCGGCTCCGAAATTCCGAAAATGAGATGTGATATTATGCAATTGACAACAAATCATCAATTGTGTGCGACAAAAAACAAAAACAAATAAACGGAATGATGGGGTTTGGCCAAAGCCCATCGAGGTTCCTCAGCCCACTTGACCATGAGACAGTCGACAACTGGACACTTGGACACTTGACCAAACACGCTGTCCATCCCGACGCTCCGAGATCGAGAGACAGAGAGATAGAAGAGAGTATAGGGTATAGGGAAAGTAAAAAAAAGGAACATTGTTGATGTTGAATAATTTTAAGGAATACAATAAATTAAATTAAATTGTTAAATTGTAAACCTCAGTTCTTAAGTTATTTATTTTTGTATACTTAAGCAGCGCATATGACACCTTGTTATATTTACAAAATAATACTATATTGCAAGTTCAGCAGACATGCCACGCCCATAGAGCTATGTATTCCCCCTCATTGTCATATCTCCTGTAACACCAACCACCCACCCGCCCCCAAAAAAAAACACTCAAAAACACACACACAGCTTAGAGATATCGTTTAGTTTTTGTTTAATACACCATCCAAATATTTTGTATTATTTAACTTTATTTGGAATGCCCCTCACCAGAAATCACTCTGTACATATATTTAGCTATACATTGTTGAGGGCGTTCCCCTCCTGATTTCACCCGATCATTCTCTTTGGCACTGCCAATTCCCTTATATTTTTGTTTGCGTTCGATATAATTCCTAAAACTTTCCTTTTTGACGGTCGGAGATCTTTTGAGTTGTTTCTTTTATTTGCCTTGGGTTGAATTTACTCCCTTATTTCTACTACCATAAACAGCAAACAACGCTAAACAAAAATTGCTTACGCACATTGTTATCACTAGAAAAACAAGAACAACACAACAACAAGAACAAGAAAAACAAAAACCTGTCTGTTAAAAAACAAAAATGAAAATATGTAATATGAATAACGAGAAGTACATGCATACATTATAAATATATATATATAATCAATTTGTAATTGTACCGAAATTGATAACTGTAAAGTAACAAGAAGTTTATAAAATTGCATATGATTTAAACTATAAACTAACTATAAAGAAATACAATATCCCTCTATGCAGCAAGCGAAAGCGAAAAAAAAAACAACAGCAGTTATACATAATTGAATGTGTAATATGATGGCATACATATAAATAAAAATATTATAATAAAACAAAACGAAAAAAAAAAATACAAACACTGAGAAACAACCAAAAAACTTGAAAAGCGTAATTCATTTTGTCTTTATAATAGGATAGTTAAGCCTGAACAATTTGTACGTAAGAGCCAGAGATGGTGATGATGTTGAGATGAGAAGGCGGAAACCTGTACTCGTAACGACTCAATAGCGAAAAGTTTAAATAAAATTTATACTTGTGAGTTGAAAACAAAACAACACAAATACGGGGCGGAACTTTTCACTCGGAACACTCCACACTGGTAAATTCTATATTCTATAACAAGAGAAGCACAGAACAACAAGCGGGGTGTATGTAGATTAAATGTAGACAGAAAAGTAAATAAAATTTGGTCAGCCTTTGTCTTCGACTTGGCGACGCTTAAAATGGGTATGTCAACGACACGCTGAATGTTGGCGACGCTTAAATTGGTTAATTCAACGACACGCTGAACCCAAGTCAAATAAATTTCCATGGCTTCTCAAACCGTCCGCTTCCCGAAAGTTTGCAACTCTAAGAAACGAAAGCAGCCCAAAAGTAGTCAACAATTTTATGCTTTAAGCCGAGCTTAAAAGGGGAAAATAAATTCGGCCTAAAAGTATGCAACGCAAAATAGCAGTTGTCTTCAACAAAGCAGACAGCCGCTTTCAAAGCGCAGCTTAATTTATTACTAGTTTGCACAATACAACTTTTTTTTTATTTTTAAGTTAGTTGTCCAATTCCCCAATGAAATCGTATCAGGGATCCGTCGTTGTTATACAAAGCAAGCCCAATTTTCCAACATTTGGGTTTTGTTATCAGGTATTTTGGGGTTTTGGCCTACTCATCAGTTAACAAAAAACATCGCAACTTTCTTGGGCACTACAAAACATTTTCTTTATTTTTAATTTTGAAACTCTTCACTCATCTCTTAAAGATCAATTCCAAACAACTTTGAGAAGTATATTTGGGTACATAAATACTAAACGAGTAATACAATTTTTTTTATCCATTTTGCTTGGGCATCACAAAACATAGTTAAATCATACAATATATATAGTTAGACAAGGCATATATGTATATACACGCATCGTGGGGGTTACAATTAAAACAAATTATATAATTAATTATTAATCGGAGCAAACATTTTGGTAAGGACTGTGTGGTGTATTGAGTTGTGTTGTGTTGTTTATATAAAACTTAACCAAGAACACTTGCGTTGTTAAGTATAAAGAGTTTGACCTAAGCGGTATTGTGGAGTAACCCTAATTATTAATCGTAAGGCGCACTACTAGTAGATATAGTTCAGCTGCATTTCGGCCGCTGCCAGCAGCGCATCCTGTGACTCCTTCTCCAGCTTCATCTCGTCGTTGTCCGTGGGTGGTTGTGTGGGCGTGGCTTGTCCCGGATTGGGATTGCTGTTGGATTGCTTCTGCTGGCAGGGTTTGGATTGCATTTCCGTCTCCGTATCGGTTTCGGTTTCTGTTTCCGCCTCGGCGGCAGCATGTGATTCTTCATCCTTGGCATTGGCCACCTGATCACTGGTCACCTGGTTGCTATTCCGGCACCGGGCTATCAGATCGCTGTAGGGACGGTCGTGGAGCAGGCAGACCAGCACCACGGTCATATTGTCGCCGCCGAGGCCGCCCATTTGGCAGTCGGGCGCCAGGCAGTGGTTCATCAGCTCCTCGCAGATCTCCTCCGGATGCATGCCCATGCCGATGCGCGTGCGACAGAACTCGAGCACTTCCGCATTGCTCATCACATCCCAAATGCCATCGCAGGCCAGCACGATGAATTCCCAGTCCTCCATGATTTTGCGCGTCTCCACGTCCGGGTAGGCTGTATATGCATACGCATTACAAAAAAACAAGGTGATAATGGATAATGCGAACCAACAATGCCTGCGATGGTGTTTTGTTCTCACCTGTGACGATCTGATCTTCCGGCTTTTTGTTCGCCCGCTTGAAGACAAAGTCGCCGAGTGCCCGGGAGAGGGCCAGATTCCCGTTGACCCGATTGAACTCCACCCAGCCGCCGCCCTCGATGATCCGCTTGGACTCCGCCTCATTGTTGGGCTTGTGGTCCAGCGACAGGATCTCCAGTTGGCCATTCACGCAGGCAATGGCCCGCGAGTCTCCGGCATTCGCGCAATACAGCTTGTTGTCTTTGACCAAAACCACCACGGCCGTGGAGCCGGCCATCTGGTCGCCCCATGACTCCTTGTTTAACATCTCGTAGTCTATGTCAAGAAAGCCCTGCAATTGAATCAGATTTATGAGTAATGTGTAGTACAGTGATGAGAGAGAGAGAGTTCTCGCTCAACTTAAAATGTACCTAGAACTGGAGTACCTGAACCTTAGTAACAAAAAAAAAAACCCGTCAGTTTTAACACAAAAAAACCTTCTATTATAGTCAAAATGAACATCTTAATAAATTAATCTTTTTTGATTATTAATATATTTAATTTTGAATTTTCTTTTACTTGGTTTTTATTGGTAAAACACCATACTTTTAAATGGAAATTTTTCTTTTTACCTTAAATTTGATATCTTAAAGAGCTATATGGCATTTAATAAACTTAACAAAGATAAAGGTTTCTTAAAATAAGTACCTTTGTGTACTAGTAAGATTCTTTATCCTATCAGCTATCTTAAGATAGTTGTCAAATCTTTTTGTATGTGTCACAAAAAGTATGAAAAATGATTAACTAGGTGCTGATATAGGTTCGTAACTAGTAGAACCTTCCATCAATGATATAGCTTAAGTAAACGAAATAAATCTCATCACAGATAATTGATATGTGTTACAACATATCGGTTTTTAAAATATTCTTAGTACATTCCAGTAAGGCAAAGCCACTGATACTCAATATTAAAAAGAGCTAATATTTTTAGGTACATCTGATTAGATTTCGATATTTCTATGTCTTCATCATAATAACAACAATAATATATATATGCAATATTCCTTTTGATATCCATTATCTGCAACTCGTGATATATAAAGCCATATATGGTAGGTACACTTTGCTAGATGGTTGCCATCTCTGATCTTCAGATGTAGCCCTACCCCGTCCGTGACTCACCTGCTGCAGTGCCTCCTCGATATTGACGCCGTACTCCGGTCTCTTGAGCACAAACTTGTGCAGATGCTTGCCGGCATACTGGGCCACCGTGGCGCCTCCATGGCCATCGTATACGGCGAAGAAGGCCGCTCCGGGATCGTCGGGCAGCGAGAGGATGTGGGTGTGCGAGTCCTCCATGTTGATGCGCCATCCCTGCATACAGCTGGAGCCCACGCGGAAGGCGGCATTCTGGCAGTAGGAGGACTCCTTGGCGGTCACCGGTTCCGATAGCGTTTGACCCATTATTTGTGTGTGGTGTGTGTAGAGTGGGTGCAGTTTTCGGGAGGATGAGGTTGTTGTGTTATCGATTTACGTCGCTTTTCTGCGGGGCGAGAAGACATACAAGCACACGGGTTAAGTTAAGTTCATTACGAAACTTTGACTACGGAATACAGAGACTATACTGACTACTGACTATTGTCAACTTCAGATACGGATACGCGTGGGCCCTGGAGATTAGCATATCAAAGAGGGGTCTCCGTCTCTCTTTATATACATATAGATATATATGTATATAAGCTTATAAGCAAACAGACGTGGAGATTTCAAGTTTTCAGGGCCGGATCGCGATCCGGAATCGGGGTTCACTAACCATGGGTTCAAAGGGCAGGTGATAAATGACAGTCGATAAGGCGAACGCCAATCATGCGCTCCGTAATAAGTTGACACAGTTTTTCACCAGACCTCAACTTACGCAAAAAAAAAACAAAAAAAAAACAGGCCAAAAAACGGAGAATGAGGCGAAGAGAAACGGAGAAGTAAAGAAGTGGAAAAAGAGAGAGAGAAGGAGGAGCACCGGAATAGCCGCTGCAGCAATCCACACGAGAAACCCACCTGGCGTGTTTTCTTGCTCGCCAAAATCAACCGACTCCGCATCAAACAAAAAAAACTGTCCCGTTAAAAAATTATTAAAAACTGCGCGTGTTTTTTTTATTTTGTATTTGGTTGTGCTCAGCAGTGTGAACGTGGATGTGTAGTTGATAAATTCCAACGGCTTTGTAAATGCTTAAGAGTTTTGAAAAAGCTGACCACACTCTTTTTGACTATGTCCAATACTGGCTGGGGGCGCTTTGCAGCCCTGGTTGGGTTTGTGTCTAGGCTACATTTAAACTTTTCAGTTTTGGCGGTTCGATTTGAATTGAGTTTTGAATTTGAGACATTTGAATTTTTATTCTTTAATTGTACAACTAATTGAGTTGATTTTTTGACTTTCCAAACTCTGAAGTTTTGCTATACTTATCAGAAACGATTTGACTAATGACAGTTTGACGTTCCCTAAAATATATTAATTTATATTCTTTAATTATATTATTATTGTCAAATACATTCTATATATTCGATTCAAATTTTTAAGTTTTGCAACACTTGTCGAAAACTTTTGAATTTTTGGCGGTGTGAATTGTATTTTAAAATTATCATAATTTATATTCTTGAATTGTACAATTTATTATCGGCCATTTTTTGGCTAGCCATTCATATTTATATTTAATAATTTTGTATTGCAATATCAATGCAAATTTTGTATTATGTGGCTTGCTTCTAAATTCGTTTCTTTTTTTTTTTTGAATTTGTCGTCATCTTATCTGTTTTTTTTAATTTCAGTTGGCGAGTGCATTGAATTTTGCGAATTTCGTTTTGGGTTTGCGGCAAATATACGAATTCAAGGACAAATGACGTCAGCTAAACATTTTTTGTTGCCGCTGCTGCTGCTGCTTGCTGTTTTGTTGCTCTCTCACATTGTTGTTGTTTGGGGAATTAAAGCTTGACTGGCATTCGCTGCCAACGCCTCTGCTTTCTATTTATTGTCTTCTTCGTCTTCGCCTTCTCTTTTATTCTTAATTTTTGGATTCTTTTGTTTTGCGCTTTTGCCGAGCAAAAAGAACAAAATAAAAATGTATTAAATATTTGCACAGCAGCAGCAAAAAGCCACAGAGCAATTTTTGATAAAGAACTTGTGTATTTTGTTGGGGCTCTCGGTTCCATTCTTTCTCTCTTTTTCGCATTATCTTTGGCGCTCTCAAATTGTTTTGGCAAACAAAGTCAATCCAGAAGTTTGTTGTCGAACTAGCTAGTAACCTACTCAATTGCCACCTTGCTCCCATCCCCCATACTGCACATATAAATAATATAATTTTAGACTTCAGATTAAGATTAGATAAGATAGAATCCAAATTTCATAACAATTTCTAAATGTTTGTATCTTGCTTTCTTAACATATACAACGAAGTTGAAGAATGTGATGATAATTTGAAACTTAAATATATATAAGTTATACAATTTTCGATCTTATTTCTTATTAGTATATTAATTAGATAATTGTTTTAAATGCTTTATAAAATTTAATTTGTAAACTGAAATTACAAGGAAGTTTTTAGTTTTCCTTCGGAAAGTTCACACTTTGGATATTAATTTTCTAACATATACCAAAAAAAAAAAGAACAAGTTGGCAATTTTCAATTTTCTATCTAGTTTTTTTTTTAATTTATCTACTTACAATTCTAGCTCCCTTCAAATTTGATATTTGTCTTTATGGTACTTTTTTTAATTTTTCGTAATTGAAGTTGATATGTCACATTTAAGGATCAAAAACATATAATGTTCAAACTATTAATACAATTTAAACTTAACATTTTCTTTCGAGCTTATTTTCAAAACATACACGGAATTTTGTCCAGTGTATAATATCTCTGCTTTTCTTATCGTTGTGTTTGGTCATTGAAAGTGCAAGGCGTCGACGTCGCAGCACGCATTTTATTTCCCAACCTCTAGAACGCACATTTATTATGCATTTAACGTTCCCCGCTGACGACTGCAACTATCGCCCCGTCTGCCCCGCCCCCTCCGCTCGTTCGCCCCTGTTTGCCATTTAAGATTCGCTTTCGCTTCCCCTTTTTATTTCAGCGCACTCTGTAAAATTTCCATATTGTTTGTCAACCGGCGATTGCATCCAGGCTCGATTCTCGGTTTCGGTCCCTGAATCGGTCTCTAAATCGGAATCGGAGTTGGAGGCGATCAACAGCTCCGTATGCATATGCAGTCTGCATGCAAATGCTGCAGCTCGGATCAGGGCGCACTGTCCAAAAATAATAGTATACATATTTCCTTAAGAATTAAAAACAATTTTAGAATCAATTTTATATTTAAGAAATCATAATTCTACAATCTAAAAAATGTATAATTTGTAATATTTCAAATAATAATAATAATAAATAATAATACTTATAACTTTAAAGAAAATACAGATAAATCTTAAAAAAATTTAAAACTTTTCAAAGGAAATATATTTTAAAATTTATATTACGTATACGCATAGGTTGCGACCTATTTTTTGACAGACAATTGGAAAAGTATCCTATACTTCAAATTTTTATTGTGACTTTTTTTTAAGTACAGTTTACTTCTCAGGAAGACAAAGCGATCAAAATTATATTTACTTTTATTTCTATTTATGATGTGTCCAATAAAAATAATTTTATATTTCTTATGATGGTGATAAAAATAATTTCTTATATATATTTTAATTTTATCCATCTTGATGTTTGTAATGTAAGTTTCTACTATTTTGTAGACTGCAATATTTACACTCTTATTTTTCAATATTTAAGTTAATAATATGTATTTTTTTTGTGCATAGCCCGTGCAAAAGTTAAAACTAACTTGTGTCTGCGATCTAAAGTTATAATCAATTTTAATTGTATTCATTGTGCGTCTTCCTGATTTTATAATTGAATTGTCTACTATTTTGTAGACCGACCTGTCTTGCTCACAATTACTTTTAAGTATAGAACCTGGTATATATTTTTTCCAGTGCATGTCCCGTGCAGGGAAAGGAGGAGGGAAAGGGACAGCGACAGGGGCCGGACAGAGCAGGGCCCACAGATATCGTCAGGCAGTTCAATCACATTGCACAAAAGTTCGAGGTCAGTTATAAAAATAAAATTATATCCCCTCGCTCGGCACGCTCCCTTTTCTGTTTTCTGCTGACTGTGAGCTCTTGGATGGGATTGGGATTGGACTGGGATTGGGTTTTGTTTTACATTAATTTCTGTTTGAATGCGACAAAATGGGTTTCTTTGTCTTTGGCTGACTGGGCAGGATCGGAATCGGAATCGGGATTGGGATAGGGATCGGGATCGGGATAATGGATAATGGGGTTGCTGTACGCAGCTTTTGCTCCTGTTTTCTCGACCGCCATGGGACAGGCACAAAGGCCATTGTTCGGGGACATTTTGCGGGTCACTCGAGTGGAAGTAGGCCACTGGAGTTCTGTGTAACTTGAGCACCGTCCGATCGGGATCGCCGATGCAATTGTGTAATGCGAGCCCAGCCGCAGGGCATTGACTCCTGGCCCAAGGATAATGGGGGAATTTAGCCGCGAAACAGGAGCTGTACGGCAAATAATCCTTTGCCATCTCTGTTCTAGGTTTCAATTATTCAAAAAAATATATTCCATCTTTGCTTGCTTAAAATCCTGTAAAGCTCTGTTATATTAATATTATGTCTGATAAGTAAGATATTTTAGTATACACAAATGTACTTTCAGACATCCAAATGAAAAATAAAAAAATAAAAATAATTATTTGCTTGTATAAAATGGTTTTGAAGAATAGTGAGATTGGTAATAATGTTAAGGAATGTTTTTTGTTGGTATTAAAATAAAATAACTGATATAAGTTAACTTATTAGAAGCCCTTATTATTAATTATATAATTAACTATTTTTAGTCTGGCATTAATAATTTTAAGAATGCACAAAGTGGGATTGCAGTAAGGTTATATTTTCCTTTTAATTCTTAATTATGTATTTTAAATTGTTTATTGATCCTTGTTTTTTGTTTTTTTGATTACTAATGGTTTAAAATTGGTTTAAATGCTTATACCCTTTAAGTCATTGTTGTTAAAATGTTCCATTATTATTTTAGAGATTTGCTAATAGTGAATCGCTTTTGAACATACAAACAAAACACCAAATAAATATAAGATTTCCCTTCGGTTAGTCTTTTCTAAGTCTGGCCAAAAGCTAGTTTTTTTCTGCTACTAAAATCCCTATTCAAAGTTTATTTCTATAAAGTCTGTGATTCTATTCTTAATTTATCTTAGCCAACTTATCATGGTCTTCTTTCTTTGTTATTATTGAATCAAAATATTGAGATTTGCAAAATGGTAAACTCTGTGCTCAAGTTTGCTATAAAAGGTACAAACAAATACCCAAATAAATATTAAATATCCCTCCGCTAAATCAAATCCTGTCCATGAAACTGATTTCCATTGATATACAGAGACGTTAGTCTTTTCTAAGTCTGGCCAAAAAAGCTAGCGTTTTTTGCCGAAAACCCTGGCCCAGACAGTCGCTGACCGGTGGAATGCTGTTGAACTTAATTTCTGGTTGGCCGTACCGCAGTGAAATGAAATTTCGATCATTTCCAGAGAATTCATGCCACAGATTTTGGTGCGGCGCGATGGTCGCGGCCATGGCCGATCCTCAAAACAGACCAAAAGCCGACCAAATACCGACCGAAAAACTGAAAAGCCGCAGCCAAACTAGTTTTACGGGCTCCCCAACCCAAGGATCCCAGACGCGCAGTCAGGTTCATTAACTTGTTTGCCTCGCCGCGTTTTGGTTGCCTTATTTTTTGGGGCCTTGGCCGACGTAGTCGCCGTTGTCGTCGTCGCTGCTTTTCAGCATCCCAACATCCCAACATCGCAACATCGCAATATCCCAACATCCGCGACGAGACAATAATGTTCTTCGCTGGAAACGCGAGCCCCTTCACCGGCACACTGATCCTCTCGTCCACCCTCCTCAAAAATATCCTCCTCACCCCCCCTTCGGTGGTGAATGGTGATGGTGACTTAATTGCCGCACCCAAATGGCTGAGCTGGACTAGGGATTAGCACGGAAAGTGTTCGATTCTCCAAGACCCGCATATGAAGTTCTGCTGGGTATGTTGCTTACAGGGAGTTCCAATATGTAGGATACTACAGTTAAGTTTCTAGCAGAACAAAAGGTTTTAATGATAAGTAAAAATATTTACCAATGTATTCATATTCATATTTAGCAAAAGCGTGTCCAAAGTTAAAGTCAAACATTGGTAAGTATTCGGTTCTTATGGTTACTTACAAGGAAAGTCAAGTTGGAGCCCCTGCTTAGTGCAAAATGTAGGATATTACAGATCAATTCAAAGTAGAGTAAATGTTTTTAACTCCTAGTAACAATATTTAGTGGTAGAAGCATTCGCCAGCTTAAATATAAACCTTTTACCAATAGTTCAAAACTTGACTAATGCCAACACATACAATATTTCTTTTAAGGCTTTTTGTCGCAACGAAAATAATGCACAACTAAAATGTTGCATATTTACGTTAAGCAAATCTTTGTTTAAATTTTATAAAATTGAGCAACATATACTAAAATTAGTTTTACCTTTATCACAACAAAAATGGAGCTCAACTAAAACATTATTTTTACTGGCAAATCTTTATAAATTAATTAATTAATTAATTAATTAATAAATTTATAATGGGTACGTAAACATTCAAAATCTTAAGATCTTATTTATATTATTTTATTTTAATCTCTACCCAAACAATTTATATTTATATACCCTTTCTATCACAAAGAAAATGAAGCACAAGCCAAACCATTTATTTATAGAAAAATCTTTTTAAATTGCTAATTCAAAATCCTTAATTACAGTATATTTCTTAACCGAAACCAGTTTAAATTTTTATTGCGTACGAAATGCAGATGGCACAACGGGGCCAAGCCCTATGATCCTTGTGACATTTGCTCATTTTTCACTGTCGCAACTCGGTTGCCGATAAAGTGGAGCACATTGTACTAGCCTCTGATTAATATGAGTTGTGGCCCGATATCGCTGCAGCCTTGGCCGAAGTCGTTTACTTAGTGAATCACTTGGCCTTCCACTCTGCTTGGGATATTGGGATATGACTAAGCGCGCCCTTGCATGACTAAACCGGAGATGGTGAAAGATGGTGCCGCTGAATATATACACAAACCATTCATTATGGGAACTTAAGCACAACATAGTAAATAAAAAACCATTTTCTTAGTACCTGTCCTACATTTAAAAACTTCCACTTCAAGACTTCTCTACTTTAAAAGTGTTTAATCTGTTTTGTAAAATGTTTTTTATACTTGAAACATTTTGAAACAATATAAGAGGATTTTATTTGGTAGAATTAACAAAAATATTTCTTTTAAATAAACCAAATGTTATCTCAATGACTAATTTTTAAAATGTTTGGGATACATTTATAATTATCGATTCCTCGCCATATTTTAGCATATGAGTTGTATGAATGCCTTAACAATAAATAAAAAATAACTTCAAATCTTATATAAACCAATTTAAAAACTTTAATGAAAAAACAAACTGTAAACAAACAAACTCTAAATAATTTCTTAAAATGTCAGACCAAAATAAAATTACTTAATTCTAAAATTTAATCAAAATGACCTTTGATGAAAGTCCAAATTGATAAGGAGGTGATTCAATGCTTGGAAATTTAACATAAATAATACAACCCAAAAAACGCAAAAAAAACAATGATTAGTGTGCATGATGTGGAGATATCACAAGGTGACACTTTCTAGTAACGTGGTGAGACACTCGAAGCGAGTGCATCGTTGGAGTACCGATCGCACATCCTTGGTGAAACGCAGGGCATCCAGAAATGGAAGCAAATTTATCAGAGCTTCATCCCGACGGCCGATACGATAGGGCTTGATGTGAATGGCGTTACCCGCATTGAAACTGCACTCCACGGTTGAGTTATCCAATAGCAGGACATTGGCCAAATCCGGTGAAACCAGCGATATATACTTGGCCCTCAGTCCAAGGACATCGATGCAGTGGTGGCGGTACAATCGCTTACTCAAGATGCCCCTTCCTCTGTCCAAAAAGTCCAGGATGGGTGATGCGTATATCTCAGCTCCGGCTGTGAAAATGACCAGATCATACCACTTGGATACGCGGTTCAGGAAGTAATCCACATGGGGACGCTTGTAAACAAAGACTGTGCCATCGTAGTCCGGCAAGGGGAACTCAAAGTCATGCGGCACACCAGGTGGTGATTTCTTTCCACGACCATTACTCTTTTTGATCCACGAAGTTATTAAAGTTTCGTCCATATCCAGTACCAGAGTCTTTTTGGCCACCACCTTCAGTCGGCGTTTGGAAACGGTGCTCAAACGATCCTCACTTAAATAGACAACGGGTGTGTAATCCGCATAGATCTTGTAAATCCCCGCCAGCCAGAGACGCAATTGGGGAACCACCAGGCAAACCATGCTCGTCATCAGACCCACAGTGGCCAACACAAAAAGGCTACAAGGATCGACTGTATATTAGGGATCTCCCATTCAAACGATTGCCCATTACTTACTAAATCATAAAGGAGTCACTTTTCGATTGCATTGCAGAGGTTTTATCAATTTAAAATACAAATTGAAGAACAAACTAATGTTAACAAAACCAACAATTTATAACAAAAAACAAAGTGTTAGTATTAAATTTATATAAAAGAATTTAAAAATAAAAACCAAAGGGACAAAAAGAAAGAGTGATAATGATCGACGGAGATTGAAATTAAGAATGAAACCCACTTCAATACAATCCTTCTCGCCTTGACAACTGATTATCGGAACGAGTTGATTGATTGAGCACTGAAAATAAATTGTTTATGAAATCGTATTCCTATTGTTTTTCAATCAAAAGAAACCGAAAGCTTCTATTAACACTAAGAACATGAAATGGATTAATTAAGTTATGAGCCATAGACAAATAGATTGCCATAAATTAAATGATATTTAAATAGTAAATAATATTTTGTAATAAAAAATTGTCTGGTAGGAAAATGGTTTTAATTTCAGTCAGGTAAAAATCTTAGTTCAATAATAAATAAACTATTAAAAAACGTCACTAAAGAATAATAATCTAAAGATTGATAAATTATTACAAATTTAAGTCATCTAACAAATAACTCAAGATTACAAAAAATTGCGTATACGTCATGTTGAACATTCCTCACCGTCTGGGGTCAAAAACGCCATTCATCAAGATCGCTACTCTGTGTATGATTTTCCTTCCTGCATGGATGTTATTAATCAAGTTATTGTCGATACTATATAATTTTCTGGCTGTGTGGATATTCGAAGAACTTGTCTGGCTTGCAATTCCACTTACAGTGGGTGTTAAACGATCGGTAGTGCGTACGTGTGGGGGTGTTTGGGCTTGGGCTTATAAACAGCCATGAAATGCAGTCCCACCGATGATGACGCACAAAGAGAGTGGGAGGATCCAAGTGGGGGGTGGGGACTTCGATGAACAGAGACTATATATATACGCTATATACACTGACGGAAGTTCGCCGGCGATGTCACTCGTGTAAAATATTGCACTGGCCTTGGGAGCAGCACGCACAATGTGACTGCGCCGTCAAGACGATTAACAAAACACAAAAAGCAGCCGAGCAGAATCGGCAAGAGAACAGAAAAAAATAATAGTAATAAAAGCTGCAGCCACTGCAACTGTGGCCCTGAAGCCGACGGCGTCATCCAGAAGGAGCACCATATTGTGCGCATCTGGAGGTTGCCTGCACGCGATTGGGATGGTTGATTGAGGGTAAAATTAATTAAATATAAAAAAAAATAGTTTAAACCGCTTTCTGACAGTTAAAGTTCCTCAAAAATAACACTTACTTTGCCACAGAAGAAGTTATACCTTTAGTACTTTAAAATACAAATTGCAATTAATATATCCTAGATTATAACCTTGCAGTAACCTTTAATAATTATGATAATATGTTTAGTAAAATATGCAACCATAGGAAAATATTTTTGATACTTCTAAAATCCTTCTATGAGAGTTTATATACTTTATATATTTTAAATTGATTTATTATACCTGGCACTACATATAAATTTTATTATTAATATTATAATAAAGCTATTCTTATTAAGAAATCATTTATCATTTCCCAAAACTAAACTGTGAATATAAATGGAAAAACCCTTTTCTTTAAGCGATTTGGAAATCTAATAAGTACCCAAAAAAAAAAGGAGAAAAATTCGTTCCTATAAAAAATTCTTTCCTGATAAAGTCCACCTGAACGGATCATCCCACTCATTAGGTTTTTTCCTTCGGTTAGGATACGAGATCCAGAGGCTTGCGTTTTTGCGGTCGACTGTGGCGTCTGCTGGGTGTCAACATTTAACCGCATGTTGTGCTGCTGCCACAACTGCAATTCCCCAATTCTCGAAAAAAGGGTGAAATCAACTTCTGAGTCAGTTGGAAAAAATGGGGAAGGATGCGGAGTTAGCACCCGCATTTAGGCACATGTTGTTCTGTTCTGTATTTCTGTATTTATGTCGTGCGACATTCGTACAGTCGCCGAGTCAATCAGACCGGAAAATATGCAGAAATTCCAATGGCTTTTGTCATGTTGCAAGCCAATTGTGTTTACTTTGTTGTAATTTCTATTTTCAGATTACAGTTAATCAAACAGGCAACTAAAACAGTTGGTACAGTGAGAAATAACACAATCACTTAGAGTAAAAAGGAAAATTGTTTCCTCACTTTAAGTGGAAATAAAATCGTTTAGCTGAAATTTGGTAAAATTGTTTTCTGGTGCTGTTTCTTTTAAATAATATTTCATTCAAATATCAAATACTACATTAAAAGACTACAACTTAATTTCTAAAACTTTTTTGAATTTTTCTGTTTCAGTTATTCATTTGGCCGGTTCAGCAGTTGTTTCTCATTATCTTTGTAAAAAAAAGTTAAAGCATGCCTTGTAATGTCCAATAAACTTCAAAACATTTTATCAAGTACTTTCTTTGAAAAATTTCAAAAAATTTACCAATTTTTCATGGGTTACACTGGTATATTCCTTTAAAAACAATGAAAGCAAATGGTATAAACTATTATATATTTATTTAATGAATTCGAAAGAAGTCTAGAAAATTGGATTTCCAAATAAGCAATAGTTTCAAAAATAATTAAAGTGCTAACAAAAAAAATCTTAATTTAGTTGAGCTTTCTTCCTCTTTTGTAAATTTAATTAAACGTGGCCTTTTTACGGTGCGCGGTTATCACATCGCTTATCTCAGTTCGCGATTGCCTGAACCTGTAAACGCAATTTTGACAGCGTGTTTTTTTTTGGATAACACATTTGACGTGTGTTAAATTAGCATTAAACAATAATTCTGTGGCTGTTTTTTTTCGGGTTAGCCGATGTTTTCGTTGTGGTTTCTGCTGTTGTTGCGGTGAATGCAAAATAAATTGCGCATAAAGTTTAATCACTTTGACTTTGCACAGCACACACCAGCAATGCCGAAAAAATAAAAACGCATAACAAAAGATTCTTCACTCATACAGACAGACTGGGAATACAATATCGGCAGCAGCAGCACAAACCAAAACAACAACAACAAGCCCAGTGGACAGTGCAAAATAAGTATAAAAATAAAAAAAAATAAAAATAATAAAAAAATACACAAGGCGAAGGCGACGATGGCAACAAGCAAGAGCGAACGGGATAGCAATAGAGTCAACAACCTCCAGTGCATTACTCACTTTTAAAGACCGTGTGTGTCCTTCAACAAAAACTTTATCTCCGTCCCTCACTCGCTTGGTATCTCCCTTTATCTCGTACCCTCTCCCTCTCTTTCTCGCTCTCTCTGGTTGCTTCGTTTTTTACATTTTATAATTAAACAATTTTGCAGTCGCACCGCCCGCAATCCCCCAAACCCCTATTTACTCCTCCCTCCGTCATCTTTTTCTGGACAAACAGAAACCCGAAAAAGTAAAGCTTGCTGCACTTAAAAAATAATATCAATATTAAAAACATTTAATTTGAATACCTACTAGGAAGCATAAGTGTAAATATAATGTTTAATACGAGAAGTGGCGTAATAGCCACGTTTTAAAAACATAATAACATTACAAAATGGAAAAAAGTTAGTTCTATTTAGATTTATAAAAAACTATACTGAAGTTCAACACTAAGCTCAATTTTTATAGCTTGCACATTACTATTAACTTTGGAAAAAAAACATTCGTTCGAACTGAAAATGTATTAATTTATTCATGAATTAATTTGATAATACAAAAAAAAACAATTACATTTTGGATTAGCTTTAAATGTAACAAGTATTGTGTTATTTTAAAATAAATTATGTTAAACTGCCTATCCTCAAGATGAGCTTATATATTTTGCACTGGTCGAAATGGATTCAACATATGTATTAATAATTGTTAAATGACAATTTGACAAGCATTATATAACTTTATGATTAAATTTGAATTAATTTAATTTTAACATCATAATCGCTATTTTTTTTATAAGTGCTTTTGATCTTTTCTTCTTTTTGGTTTTGTTCCTGAAGCTTTGCACAAGTGTGCAGAAGACAGTCTTCTATCTCCACTTTATCGATGGGTCTTCGGAAACTTGTCGATTCCGCTGCTGCGCATTTTGGCGAGAAGCGAGATGAATAAACTGTTGTACGCTTGCGTGACCTGTTCCCCATCTCACTTGCTCCTTCTTTATGCTCCTTTAGATCGCCCCCCCACACACAAAAAAAAAGAGACATACACAGAGCTACTGCCACATCCGCTTTTGATGTGTGTGCGTCTTTAGCGCGGTTAATGTCATTGACTGCAATTTGTTAGCAAAATATTTCAACTGATAAATAAAATCTACACGATGCCAATGAACTCGATTCTCTACAATCGCCACACGAAAGCCAAAACAACCCGAAATTGCAATTTGCGGCCCAATTGGAGAGCAACTAAGTAGTCGTATGCAACAGAGATAGCAATCGAGTTCTTACCCATACCTATACAAAATCAGTAGCGGATTCTAGCAGGCGCGAATTCTTCAGCCTTAAACGAGTCAATTAACTATTTGTTTCTCACAGGTGCTTATTAAGCTACAGTTTTTAACTTATAAGGTAAAGACAATTTTAAGTCACGACATGATCAAATATTTTAAGGAAAGTCGAATTGTGAAAGTATTCTTAATAAATTTGAGTTTCCTTAAATTCAAGCATAATATATTTTGACATTATTCGATTATTTTTTGTACTACAATTGATTGTAAAACATATGAATATATTAAAATTATTATAAATTGTCGAAACCCCTAGCCAAACTTTTTTTCTTTATCCGCCCATGCTCAAGAGCACAGGTTGGCAATGCCATAAACAAAGCATTCCTTTTGTTTGTTGATTCGATTTCTGTTCAGCGTTCTTTATTTTTTGCAAATTGTATTTTTATTTTTAAATAAACAAGCCGGGTTCATTGCATTCGCCAGAATAAGAATATAACAAACACACGACACGAAAAGCACTCGACAATCAACAAAAGGCGCAAAAAACAGGAACGTCGACTGATATACATGGCGTATAATTAACGGCAGCGCGTGTGTGGAGAGTTCAAGTTAATTTATCAATTCTTTCTTTTTCGGGACAACAATACTTGCATTTAAGTAGGCAGCGTGGCAGCCAAGTCATAATTTCATCGGTGGGTATATATAGAATCAATCAACTGATTAATTGCAGCTGCAAAATCTTGGAGTTTTCGGGCTAAATTGACTTTATGCCTGGTGACATAATTTGATTTTTTAATTATAGAAGGTATTCTTTTTTGGTTTTACAAAGGAAAAATTTAAATAATAATAATAAAGCAACATAGTCGGAAAATGGATTTAGTTGTATTTACACTTGCAACATTGTATGATAATTATTGCCAGGTGTTTAACGTATTGTTTTATGTTTTTATCCTTATACGATTTTTTAAATACCTTTGTTTATATGTAAAAACCCCTCCCTTCAAGTGTGAACAGTTATGTTTTCCGCTCATCTGGTGCATTTATCAGATGGTGCCATATTTCCTCGGAGGGCATTGAATGTCAGTGGTTCTCGGATTACACTAAAGTCGGTCAATAACTTCGGACCCCTGCACAAAACGTTTAAGTGACCACAAGTGATCAAGATGTTCCTGTTGTTGTTTACTCCTTGGCGAACTGATCTCAAGTTTTTGGATGCCACGTTGTTTTAGTTGACCGGTTTAATGAATCGAACTTAATTTGCGCCCTCGGAGAGAGGAAAGTAGCTAAGAAAAAATGCAAGCCGCAAAATATGCGAAACAACAAGGCAGACAACACCCAACGGCAAAAACTCGGCCTGAAGAGAAAGAGACAGCGGCAGCGACGCGTCTGGCGGCTTACAACAGTGGCCAAAATTCTAGCAATGCATTATAGGTAAAAGATTCTTATAGATTATTAGGAAAGTTTGCTAATTCTCAAGGTTTCTCCTTTTATTCAGAACACTATATTCTAGGATAATTAATTATTAGCCGAAAGAAACTCTGGAAATTACATAGAACTAAAAACGATTTTTATAAAAAATCAATTTAAATTCAGTGAACGGAAGTTATATTGCTATGATCTTGACCTCCACTGTAAAAGGAGGAGATTTGCGTGTGTGTGTTTGGGGTGAAAAGGAGGGAGTGGGCGGTGCAGTCTGCAGGAAGAGCTCCAAAGCTCGCGCGTGTGTGTGTGAGTGGGTCGCCAAAAGCGTCCACATATAAGTGGTGCCCAAAAAGAGGCGAAGATACAGAAACAGAAAAAGAATGATGCTACAAAAACTCAAAGTAACTCATATTCGCGAATTTACCAGTAGGTGTGTGTTGGTGCGACGTCGGCAGAGGGCCGGACCAGGCGAATATATAAACGGCGATCGGGCGATGCAAAATGTTCATTCCGCCGCCGTTCGTTCCGTTCGCTTTACTTTTCGTACTTTTCTCGCATATAAAAAAGTCAAACAAAATAATAAAATGAAGCGATCGCACATATATATGTAGATGTATAGTATATATATATATAAACGCACGCACACCAACAAACTCACGCAATGGCCGCCAATGACGCCAACTGCGCTGCCGACGTCGCTGCCGAGAGTATAAAAGCATAAAATCACTTCGTACTCGGGTTTATTAAAACCAAAACTGTGCAAGTGTCGAGATCGATGGTAGCCGCAAAGAAAAAAAACACCAGGACCTTTACAAAAAAAAAAACTCAAAAACAAAAGTTCTCGTGAAATTCACAATAAAATTCTGACTGCAAAGTGAAAGTTGGGAAATTAAAACACAAATAAATTCCACATCAAAACGATCAAAAATAGTATCAAACAACCAGCGCAAAAAAAACATACAAAAAGAAAAAAAATCAAGAACGCGACGCGCCAGCAAAAAGCGAGAAAAAAAGAAAATCGAAAGTGTTCTACTGACATGGATTACTTTTTGCCCCCCAAAACTACAAACACAACAAAAAGAGAAGAGAAACTAGCGCTAGTTTGGTCTATTCAGAGTTGCGGAGAGTAAGAATCGGAGAGCGAAAGGCCGGTCGAAAATAGAAAGCACTACACTGAAAAATGTAATTTGATTGGAAAACGAAACTTACTTATCTCAAACATGCTTAGTCACTTTAACAGATTAGTTTAAAGTGCTTTTTAAAGTCTTAACCTAAATTAATATTGCACTAAAAGATAACAAGATTATGTTTTTCAAAAGATAATCCAGACAAAGTTCTTGAGGCTAAGGAAAACAAAAGATAATAGTTTTGTGTAGGGTAAATCAAATAGGGTTTTCAAATCTTTTTATAAATAGTCTTTTTAATACTTTAATATTTCCTAATTTCTCATCGTAAAAAATCCAATTTTATTTTACAGTGAATGCACTAAATCTGTCCTTAACTTAAGGTGATATTTTTATTGAAACTAAATACCCACTTTGTTGTCTCCGTGTAGATAGCGATCTCTTCTGTTTTGAGGTGTACGTGCACTTGGCCACTCGCTTTGCTCTTTGTGCTTCGCTCACAATTCTCTGCTCTCAAATCTTCGCCTCCAATTCTTCGCTCTTTTGGCGAGCGATGAATTCTAATTCGCATTCGCGTTCTCGCCGCTTTGAACTTGAACTTTAAATGCATAAAATCATGCATGTTGTTGTTGGCCGAGGGCGTGCTCTCTAACAAAAAAAATAGAGCTCGCAATCAGTTGCGAGGCGGCTGTCGTTCCATTTGGGCGCTCGACGATTCGCTTGCTGATAAACTTTTCGACTGGCTTGCAATTAATTTGGCTCTTGACGAGCCCCAAAAGTGAAAGTCGCGAGTGAAAGAGACGTGGCAGTTTTATATTAAAGAAAAAAATACCAAAACGAGCCAACACAGATCAAACATGAACTGTACGCAAAACACGAAATGCGAAACGGCGGCAACAAGTTAATAAATTAAGACGGCAAACGAAAAATCCAGATTCCAAGCAATGCAAAGAAAGCGGCGCAACTACTTTGGTTTTTTTTTTGTTATATAGTCGGCAATTTCGGAAGAAATAAAAAGTAAATGAAAGCAGACTTTTACCAACCAGCCAGATGAACAATACTTACTGTTCTAACTCAAGAATTTCCTTATAAATCTAGCCTCTACTAGGCTTTGTCTGTGCATTCGAAAACCGATCAGACATAGCCTATAAGAGGTTAGGTGTACCAAGGCGAAAAAGCATCAAAAACGGCATCAATTACGGTTAGGAAATAGGAGGAGAAGACGACCGCCTGATAAGCATGTTCACCAGCAACCCCAATTAATGATTTGCACCTTTTTCCTCCCATCTAGCTGGTTTAATTTTGGAATTACCCTCCGGATTGCTTATTTTCGGCTGCTTGGATTTATTGGTTAATAAATTATAAATGTATATCTGAATAAAAAAAGGCGTTTCTCTGATTTTTGATGAGTATGCGTTTTGATGGGGGGACTCATTGAGCGATTATAGCGAGTCGAGTTGGCGACTTTGGCTTTGTTGATTTTATTGTATTCTCGGGTGTTGCTGGGCCACACAAAGCGGATCGAGTTTCAACTGATTATCGCAATCGAAGGCGCCACTTGCCAAAACAGCTGGTAGTTTTCCAATACATAAATGCGAAGATAAGTTGAAAATTCTAGGAGGTGGAATTCGGAAAAAATCACATATTTTCTTGGTAACGTTTTTGATGTATAATAGCTGGGAAGTTAAATTTAATATTTTAATAATTTATTTAATTAATAAACATAAAATTACTATTTTAGTAATAACATAGTATAAATGCAATATTATTGTTAGATAGTTTGTAAGGGAGTAAACAATAAAATGGAATTTAAAGTTATTTTATATAAAAAAAGGAAAGTAAAATACGTCGTCATAAAAATTCTAAGAGGTGGATGCAGAGAAATCCTTAAGGAATACATTTTTGGGATATATAATTCTAAGAAAAAGTTAGACGCATCGTCTTGAGAATTCTAAATCTGAACGCCGAAAGTATCCCCTCACGGAAAACTTTTTGCGGAATCTAAGGAACTTATATAAAATATGATTAATATTAAAATTTTGACCTAGTATATAAGTTGCGAGTTACGACAAAAGTCAAAACCTATTATTCAATAAACGGCAGATAAGTTATTCGATTTGATACTGCTTTAAAAAATAAATAAAGCTTTTTTTGTTATACTTTTTTTTAGGTTTAATTTCAAAACAGTTTATAACGGTTGCACTGCTTTAAAAAGCTTGGTTGCAGAGCTTTTACTGATGGCAATATCTCACGATCAGTAATTCTACTGCTTTTAAAAGTAAAATGTAAAATTACAGTTTTCTTTATCTACATGTAGTATGTATTTCAAATTTCTGTAATTTTTACTGTAGACACTAAAATTAGTTTTGATATATTTTTAAAAATTGTTTTAAGAAGATTTTACTTTTAGATAAATATATGCGATTTTAAATATTGTGAATAACATTTTTGTGAAAAGCTACATTAGCTTAAAAAAGAAAGATTATTTAAAAGAAAATCTTCTTAGTTTGGTCAAAACTTAAATTCAAACCACCTCTTTTTCAGGTAGATTTTATGGTTGTTATGCACACTTGTTACTTCTCCTCTAACTCTTTCATTAGGTTTTTGCCAACGACTCTTCTTCTTGGCCAAATCGAATGGTGAGTCAATGGTAAGATGGATCGTTCTCCAACCGGAATCTTGAGTTAACTCCCACAAAGGCAATTGGCTTCTGTTACCTTGGTTTATCTGCGCAGCCTGCACATAAAACACGCTCGGAATGACCGAAAATGCGTTTGAGACAGACAGTCTACCGTTTCTGTGGATTTCTCACACATAAAATCCGAGTTGAAATCGAAGACATTAAGCAAAGGAAAACAGATTGCAGCGCCAGCATCGTTCATGTCTTCCCTAATGGCTTGTACATGGCACTTGAGCACTCTGCCGTGCCGTATTTATGGCCTGCAGTCTACCATTTTGCTATTTGTCTATGCACTGAAAGAAAATTATATTGATTCAGAAACGGTGTTATTGGGGGTTAACTAGTGATACAATTTGAAATTATTTTTGAAAGAACACAAACAAAACATAACAAATTTTCCTAGCTTTAAAATGCTAGGAAAATTTTGTATGTTCTAGCCATTCAATATAATGAAATCTATTATAAAATATGGGAAATAGTTTTGAGTGTGATCATACTATTATCCAGCTGCTGCCGGCGGCTGCTCAAGCGGCTTATGCAATGTGCAATGTGAGGCTCATCATCATGGGCCCGGGTGTCTAGCCCGAGTACATGGGTTAACGTTTAAGTCTCATCCAGCTGATGGCTATTCCTGGTCCATTGGCCGATGGATGACCTTCTCCATCCTCGCCAGCTTCTGCTTCTTTCACGGAATGTGTTTAAATTTGTCGGAGCTAATTGAGTGGCACGCCCACCGTGGCCAGCAGACAGCCAAACAAATGATTGCAGTTAATTAAATTTAAGCAAAAACCCTGCCAGCAGCAACCAAATAGCATCAACAGCGTTACCAATTCATTGCAGTAATAAATTGACCCACTTTCGAATCTGCAACCTGACCCAACTACATGGCAAATGTAGAAAAAACAACCAAGCAAAATCGAACAAAAAACAAAAATATAAATAAAATAAAAAAATATATATAAAGCCCAAAACAAACTTGGCTGTATAATCGACAAGCGCCAAACAACAACAAACAAGCCAGAGCAGCCAGCAAACCAGCAAACGAGCAACCCAGCAAACTCAACACTTTAGTGCAACAGTTTAGTGTCAGGCAAAACGAATGACTTAAGAAACGAACGCGACCGCCCGACGACTGTCTCCCAATCGCTCACCACTCCCCATCCCCCTTCCCCTGGGAGTTCGTCTGCACGAGAGCCGCCGCCAGTGATGGCCACAATTGTTAACCAAAATGTGCTTAAACAATTTGCATATTGATTATATTAAAATTGATTATTTTTGTTCCAAACTAAAAAATTATAAAACAGAATTAATTACAACATTTTTGTTGTTGTTCAATCTGTTTTAGGCTTAAGACACTCAAGAAAAGGTAAAATAAATTGTCAAAGACAACATAGATTATTAAATTGAGTTTAAAATAAACTTAAGATATCCTTAAATTTACAAATTTTGTTTAGATATTAAATAAATAAAATAATTGAATAAAATAAACTTTAAGCAAATAATTAATAAATCAAAAACGGTGTTTTGTGTATATTTAAGTTAGCTTTAGTTAGTAAAAAGCCTTTTTTGTAATAAAGGCAATATATAAACAACAACATTTATTTCATGTTAAGCAATTTAGAGCTGATAAAATATGAAATGGCATTTCCTATAATTTGTTAAATAATATATTTTTATTTGCTTTTATTTTTGGCAAGTATGCTGTTGTTTTAGTTTCAATAACCAATTTCCTACAAATTAATTGAAATAGAAAAAGTCAAATTTTGCTTAGCCAAGTAGAATTTCGCAATCTAAACAGTAATGCTAATAGCATTTTTCTCAAACATATACAATTTAATTTCCTTGAAAATAGCTGAGACCTGCTGAAGTGTAACATTTTTCACGATTTTTGCTTGAAATGGCCAAATTCGCCACTCCGTTTGCCCGTCCAATGAACACATACGAGTATATACTATGTGCTCTTCTCGAACTCAAGAAAATTAGTCTGAATTGGAATTTGAGTGGCGCGCAGTAGCCAAAAAGGCGGACTCAGTTGCAGACAACAGTCAACAGTCAGTGCCAATTCAACTTCAACTTTGAGCAGCAGCGACAGCAATTGTTTGCCATCAGCCAAGGTACCTGAGAAAATGGGGGGAATTGGGTAATTGACTTCATTGGCTGCTGCAGCTTGTTGTTTTTTTTTTTGCTGTTTGTGGTTAGATGCTGTTTAGGCAAATTGTAATACTCTGCAGACAGATTAGTTGCGGAAACGAGCCTGATTGGGCAAGTGTGGACACATTTATTTGGGCGAGTTTTTGGGAGAAAGGGAAGGAGCTCAACCGATTGTGGGTGGAATGGCGGTCAATGGGCGTTCATTTAGCAAAAAATGATTAAGTTCACCGATTTTTTGGTCACTAAAAAATGTTGTCACGATTAAGGTTGGTAATAACAAGTATAGCATTGAGAAGGGAATAGTATCTCGAACTCACCATTCTAAACGAATGTAATGATTTAAGATCTTCAAAATTAGGTTAGTCTCCCAATATAATTTAAGAAGTTTTTTAAAAAAAACAAGTAAATATTTAGCATTAAATTCATTTTTTTTTAAATTAAGAAATATAATAAATTTATTTTTAATTGTGAGTAAAATATATACATATTTGCTTTGTAAATTGAAAACATTACTTATAATAACTTGTTGTTTATCCTGAACTAATTTATTAAAAATATTAGCACAGCGTAGTGATTTTACCACTGTAAATTGAAAACCAAACCGATAAAAACTTTCATGAATAGAACCGTTTTCTTCAATTAACCTGAACTGATTTGTTAAAGATCTTAGCTCAGCTCAGCGATAAAGTCCCTAAAGAAGATAATCCGCTTTAGCCGATCACAGGGCACTCAAAAGCCGTCTTGAGTGAATTGTTGTCCAGTAGAAGTAAATTCTGTTATGCTAACAATCTCTCGGCCACCAGCCACTTGTCCAGTTCAGTGTTCAGTCCAGTTGAGCCGAGAAGGCGATTGCCAGTGAGGCGGTCAGTTGGATTTCATGCTCTAGATAATAACATGCAGTTAGTGTTAGAGTGCTTTGAATGCAAACTTTTCGGCTGCTTGGCAACAAAACAACAACAATAAAGGTGAATAAAAAAACACACATATGTATAGTGTGTATATATAAAAAATAAATTAAAACTTGATATTTTATTGACTTTCAACATTGGACGGGTTATTACCCGTCGAAATTGGAATCTACACGATTTAATTTACTGAGTGGATTTGAAAAGCAATTCAAATGCGAGTCAGTCAAGTAATCCAACGGCGATAAAAACCCAACTTCCATTGTCTGCAAGGTGTTAAATATTTGTTGTATAATCCGCATCACAAAGGAGAGCAAACTGTGTGTTGGGGTACACATACATTGTACATCTTAAAAATCGATTAACATCAGCGTAATTATGGACATCATTTTTGGGTGATCAAGTGTGTGACAAAACAACAAAATACCCCTTGAATGAAAGCGGTAAATGTCAAGAAATTAGCGCAAGTATATATATATATATTTATATTGGCCACATCTGTGGGTATTATCCATTTGGAAGGTAAAAATGTTCAAATACCAGTGACCAAAGGCAACCTTGAACTTGAAATGATTTAGGGACGACTTAAACATGGCTTAACTTTCACTTTTTTTGGAGTTTTAAGACCGGCTTCTGATCTTCTGAAGGGTCTGAGTCTGCAGCAGGCATATTTGCATTATCTTTTGTTTTCTCGGTGAGAAGGCAAACCAGATATTGTGTCTTTTGGTTTTTGGTTTTTGGTCTTGGTGCGTGTTGGCCTGTGGCGACAAGGTCAACACCTTTCCTTTCCTTTTCGATCGGGCTATATATATTGGAAATGAGCCAACTTGTGGAGCACTCGACGCTAATTGACTAAGTGATACGGCATTGCGCATACGCCCCATCTAGTTGGCACTTGTTAATTAAAATATTTGAAATAATTATACAAGCAAAGTTTGCTAATTACCAGACAGTCGAGAAAACTTGGTAGCCAACCAACCGACGCCAAGCGAATGACAAACGCTGGGCGCCAATGAGCTAATCAATCACCTGGTCTATCATTCGATCTCTTAGGTATTCGGTCACTCAGTTAGTTAGTCTGACGACCACACAGTTTCTCTTTGTTCCGGCAGAATAAGCCTGCTATAAGATGTTGATTTTCTGTAAAGTATATTTTTAAAACATCACAAAGCTGGACCATTTAAAAAGTTCTTAGCGTGTGACTCACACATGAGCATACAAAGCCGCATGGCTTAAATACAGGCATTTTTTACTCACTGTACTAAATAAACTTATATTTAGCTGAGATTCGGAAAATCAACGAAACCTGAAGATATAAATGAAACTAAGTCCTTGAGCCACTATAAAAATCCCAGACTTGCCAATCCTGTCACATTAATTCTGCTCTATCAGCTAAGCAGTATATATATTAACCTGATAGACCATCAAGTGGGTGCTCAATAAGTCATTTAATTAGCTAATCAATCAGTCATCCAGTTGGTGATTTTGGCTCTTGAAAGCCTTCGCTTTGTGTCGATCTGGGGGAGATGTATTCACAAGCTGTGATCACAATCAATAGCTGCCGTTGTGCGCCTTTAATTAATCCAGTTTTAATGGAGTGTCTTGCCTAAATTAGTTTGACATTTAAGCCCAGAGATTTTCGCATCAAACGGCCGGTGGTGGGTCGGTGTCCGATTCCGATTCCGATTCCGTGTCGGTTGTGGATCGGATCCACACTGGATCCGCCGGTCATAAGTTCGGTGTTCGCTCATCATAAATAGCTTTTTAAAGCCAAAAGCCAACGGCAAATGTGAAAAGAGCAGCGTGCGATGCCTTTGGCATTCAAATGACCAGACGACTGACTCTCTGACTCGGCCAAAAACCCCCAGAGTCTAAAAATCAGGGGCTGGTAACCTAACCAGTTACCTCTTCAAGCGGGCGGGCTCCTAATCAGACGTGTTTGATGAACTTGACGCGGAGTTGGCGGCATACCAATAACAAAACCACAAAAATCCAAATTAAGCAGAAATGCTCACACAGAAGATTTCCAAAAATCACAATACCAAAAATTAACAAAAAAAAAAAAAAAACAACAAAATTACCAAAAAAAAGAGAAAAGAATATAAAACTAAAAGTTGTTCTCATGCTAATCTAATACTATACATTTTGGGGTTGTGGCCATTGCTCGCCTTTATTTTATTTTAATTAAAAACGAGAAAGGAAGGACAGCTTAGGTGGCCAAATCGAGACTAAGAATACACTTAATTTCACCACGTACAAGTCTGCAATCAAAATCTGTTTATTTTATGATATTTAATATCCATTAAAATCAAACCATCTGGAGAACAATCATCCTATTTAAGGTTGTTTTTGAAGAAGGCCGAAAATGTCTTTTAATTTTTTATTTAAGGAATAGTCTTTTTAGGAAATCTCTATGGATTAAATCAATTTTAATGTTTTTTTGGTCAAAGCTTATTCTTATTTGCATTTAATTAAAAATAAATAAACAAAAATTCATTAAAAGCATATTATATTAATCTTGAAAAACTGCTTTCCTGACATGAATAACGATTTGTTTAATAGCCAATTTCTTATATTATTTTCTTCTAATTTACAGCTCTCAATTTTTTGTTTTAACAACAATAAAATAACAATATCGCTCTCAAAATAATCATTATTTATATTTATTCGATTATGAAGTAATTATTATCTTATCATAAATTTAATTAAAGGCAAAAATGATATATATTTTTGAGCAAAATCGATAAAAGTCAAAGAAACATTATCAAATTGAAATGGACAATATTTTACTTTGTAAAAACAAAAATTATGATTGTTTTCGGTCCCTTGTTTAAATACCAATACTTTTAGGAAGAGTATTTGGAGAGGTGATAAAAAGAGAGCTCCATGCCGGACTAGTAACTGAGTGCGTCAATCAGTAGGCAGATAGAACTGGCTAATTATTATTCGCACATTTGTCTAGCCATGAACTTCTCTTTGAAGAGTTTGAATTCGAACCTGGAGAATATCAATCTCAGAAAAAATGGAACCAGTTGGCACCACCAAATCAACGAATCTTCAAATCACACCACACCTGGCGGAGTCTGCGCTCGGGTGAACCTACCAAGTAAACCTACCTCAATGACCATCTCTTTTGGCCATTGCGAATGCATCTCTGAGATACGAAAACACTCTGTTCGAGAGCGATTCAATCCGAACCGATCCGCGTATAAAACCAATTTGAGCGGCGGCCTGCGAACCAGTTGAGCGCTGACTTTGCAAACGTTTTCACGTCTTCAGGCCAGAAAAAAAATTAAAAATAAAACCCTAGACACTGTAAGCTAACGAGGCCAACACAAATGCATTTGGCCAAAAAGACACGGCAAACAAGTAAAGACAATCCCAGCGAAACACTTTTCATTTCGCGCCTGTTTTTGTTTTTACTTTTGATTGACTTTGTTTGACTTTGTTTTGACTTGGCTTTTTGTATTTTGTGTTTTGTATTTTTTGCGGAGCAAGTCAAGTGTTTGGGCCAAGTCTTTGGGCCGTTTTATTCGTTCAGCGGGCGCTCGAGCGAACGGTTGTTGCTTTGTCTTTTAACTTCAAATTTGGCTTTGTATCTTTGCATCCGACGGATACGCGATTCGATTCAAGCCGTGCCGCGATTTTCTGTGTGTGTGCGTGTGAAGAAAGAGCTATATTTATATATATATATATAATATATATTTTGTTGGCTGGTGAAATAGCCATAGCAATCCGCCATCGTAATAGCAATAGTTTTCCCAGTGTTTATTACATCAAAAATCAACGCAAAATTTATATAGTATTTATATGTATATGCCCAGCGAGAAAATCTTATGCAAATGCGTTTTGAAAAATAATTAAGCGCCAGCCTCGAGAGATTTGGCAAGAAAGTCGTTTGCAGTGCCTCAGTGACTTGGGATTTCTTGGATTTCATTTGGATTTCGGATATATCCAGCCTCAGTGCAGCCTCTAAAATCAAGGTAGGCCCTAGTCAAACTGCAACCTGCAAAACTCTTATACAATATAGTATATGAGTGTGTGTGTGCTCCAAATTCAAACTTACATAACGACATGCGGGCCACGCATATAATGATGTATCGCTATCGGCGCCATTAGCATAATTCAATGCCTACCAAAATCACGAAAATCTGTCACAAATCGGAGCAATTTGCGTAAGCGCCAATCATTAAGAGGTGTTCGAGTGGTTATTGTGTAGCTTGCGGGCTAATATCTTAAACTTTGCCATTACAAAAACAAAAAAACAATGATGCTGGCGAGTAGCCATCACATGAGCCCCATGAATATGCAAAAGAACAAGTAAACAAGTTGCCCAGCAGGGGGCCACCTGTCAGCCGACCTCAGCTTACATGGTAGGCAACTAAATATGACATTAAAAGTAACATTCTGCGTATTTTTTTTTTAATTTTATAATTTTGTTCGCCTGTGATATTTTACTCCTTCGTGGCCAAAGAATATATAAAAAGTAATAGCAAAATAAATGTTTAAATGAGATAGCTAAGTAAATATTAATCTAAAAAGTACAGGTGATGAAAATATAAAAAAATATATTATTTTTATTACATTTAAACAACATTTTTTCACATACATATTAAAGTGAGATAGTAAATATAAAAGAAAAAAAATGTTTTTTATAAAAATAGTTCTGCGAATCTGTTTTAATCATTTTGGAAAGAATACCGCCTCAACAGTAAGAAGACATATATGAAAATTAATATTTTGGTAGTTTTTTTTTATTTTTTGCCCACTTCTAACGGTTTGACAAAACACTAAAATTAGGATTTCTATTAATATGTGTTAAAAACAGCATAAATCGAAACACATTTATGAATAGTTTTGTTTTATTCATTAAAACATGTTATAAGCAAAAATTAAAAATGTTCATAAATTAACGCTGACATTAATTTTAGTTAAATCGTACAACACATTCTCCTTGCTGTCAAAACATTTGTGATTGATATAATATATATGTATATGGTAAACATATTGTGAATTTGATATTAATCTTAAAAAGTGTTGATTTAATTCTCCAGCTGGAAAACAAAAATGATTTTCAAAAATTTTATTTTTACTTCTAGCAAGAGAAACAAGAATAAATGAAATAAACTATTTTACAACCAAATAGGGTACTTTTACCAGCATCAAAACTTATTAGCATGCTAGAACATATTTTAAGTATTTTAAGGCTAATTTGGCATTCTAACCAATATTTTAGTAGACTTTATTAAACCATTTTGGGAGTCTTGATAGTTTGACCTTATGGCTAAAATAAACGTGTTTATTCGATAACACTTATTAGTATTAATTTTATGCAAAGTTCCATTTTTTTATAATTTTAGAGCATTTTTTTCAATTAGCATGTTCTCTTTCGTACAGCTGGTTTCAGTTTCAGTTTTCGTTTTGTTATTTTGCGGTTGGTTTTACTTTGATCCCTAAAACCCCATGCGATAGGTCTTGGAATGTATAAATTCTTCGGTAAATTGTATATAAAAACAATCCAATGGAGTCACTTGCTTTTTTCTGCTTATACCCAAGACGAAGCCAAAAGCTGCCATGCAATCGATGACTTGGACAAAAATAACTTGTTGTTTGCGATTGTTGTTGGTGCAGGTAAAATGCAACAGGCACAGCAGCTGAGAGTGGATAGAGATTGAGATTGAGAGTCACAGCAGCCACCCGCTTGTTTTACACTCAGAATAAATACGAAATTTCAATTGTTTCATTTTTATTTTATTTAAGTCAAAACATTGCATAATTTGTATATTCTTGCTTCTTCTTGTATTCGAAAATCTGAAAAATGTAGTTTTAGTATTTCTAATTTTTGTAAGGCATTAAATACATTTTATACTTACATCACAAATTTAATTTTTAAATAAGAATAACCAAAATATGTATTTTGAAGTGCAGCTATGGAAAATATTAGCTTTTTTCAGTTTGTGCGATGTGGGTTTTGTTTTTTGTTGTTTACTTTTTTTGCGAATATCTAAAAATTAAAATATTTTAATTTTTTTTTATTAATTGCTAAGCAATATTTTTTTAGGTATACCTAAATTCCAAAAAAAAGTTTTAAAATTTAAATGTAATAAAACCATTTATGAGTTAGCTAAAAATATATTTTGAAGTGCAGCTATGCAGTGCATTCTTGGAAAATCTTAGCGTTTTTTGTTAAGTTTCTGTGTTTGCGATGGCGGTTGTGTTTTTTTTGTTTACCTTTTTTTGCGAATATATATATGTATGTGCATCTCTGCGTTCAATTGCACATCAGCTAACAAAGTATCCGTACCCGCAGCCGTAATTTATTTGCATTGTTTAGCTCCGTACCGTTTTCTTGTGTGACTGCAATAAGACTTAAACTAAACAAAAAAATGCGGCGATTTACATAAAATTTATTGCTGCCACATTACAAGTTAGTTAGTTAATGTTGCCCGCTGGCTGAATGGTTGAGTGCTGACTGCTGTTTAATTGTGTGAAAAGTGTTAACTGCAACGTGTGTGGATTTGGATTTGCTCAAGTGCCATGCCGGCACATCACGTATACGACACGTGGCGAGCCTTGAACTCGACCAAAAGGGTTTCGCTTGCAACCGGTTGGAATTACATTCGCAATTGAGAAATTAAACCAGAATCGATTCGACCAATCGCGAGCAAATGCCACAAGTGAAGTTGATTTGAGAACAGACATTCATATTTTGGCAGACGACAATGTTATATATAATCGAACGAATAAATTATTCAATTTATGTTAACTAATTCATTTAAATTATGGATTTACCGTTTGCGTCAGAGTGCTTTAATGGTTGTCTCGCGGAAAGATTTTAGAATGTGTGATCATAAATTTTGTGCTATAATTTGCCGAGCATTGAAACTTGTTATACGACATATATAAAAATATATTGGGTGTATTTGACAGATATATATGTGAAATACAAGCTGGCTTTAAACGACAATTTGTTTTCAATAAAACAAAATGGTTCTTTATTATAGCTTTTGGAAGTACTTCCGATTTCGTAAGACCATAAACATATATAGTTTTTTCTTTATGTCCTTTCGTCATTGAATAACTAGTTAGTGACTATTTTAAAAACGATTTTACCAACATAAAGCTTTAAGAAGACTTAAAAACAAATGTTGATCTCAATATCACACCTTTTTGTGGTAGAAAAGCTAGCTAGCCAACAAGTCCGACAAGTTTAAGACTTAAGTTTTAATTCAAGATTGCGAAACAAATACATATAAATAAAAATGCTGTAGCTGTAGCTTTTGCGAATATTTGGTTTCCGTGGCAACACATCAATGTCCGATGATTTTTGTGATTTTTGATTTGTTTCTTTTGGGATGCAGGCCTAATCCGCAACTTCAAAAGCACTACAAATTGGATGAGTTGCGATCTTTGGCTTGTCGAGGGTTGTCAGATCATTGGAGTGTGAGGAAGGGCAACTTCAATGAGATGTTACCGTGGCGAATCTAAAAATATCTGCTTATATTCAGCGATGGATAGATATCTGCCCAGAAAACTGAAATATTTCATCGGCATCATCAGCACCGGTGATGATGTCTGTTTTGCCCTTGTAACGATTGTTATTTCTGCCAAAGCACAAATGCCGATATGTTAATGACGGATAGATGGACATCATAGTCTTGGGATCGAAAAAGGTATACTATACTTGCTGGACAAACGAACATATGTCCAATCGGTAGCCGATCATCGGTCTTTTCTTTTGTGGCAGCTGCTGATGGCATTTAAATCACTGAATTGGCATTGTGTGATCAATCAGTGCTTCTTGGCGGTATCTTACCGCATTTAATAGAATTTTAATTAATTATTAGTTTCGTGCGACCTTTTAAGGCCGTTTTCCAGTTCCCCACCTCCATTTCCTGAACGCATATTTTTTGGGTTAACAATAGGGTATTATTGTAAAAATGTATTCATTGATTGCTGTGCTGCCAAGGAAGGTTTTTTGGATTAATTCATAAATCAATGTTCTTTTCAAGCTACTGTTTGCAATGTAAAAAACCTGACCCATCCATTATTATATTTTTCATTAAATTGGTACTTTTTTTTCTACAAGTAACCAATCTCCATTGAAATATGGTTATATAAACAAGAAATTAAGATGCCATAATTAATTGGCTTATATTTTTTCGCTGTCAAACGAGTTGTCTCTAAACTTTCTTTAAACTTGAGCATTGAAAATGAATTTCCTCTCCTTGTCAAGCAGTATTTTCCCCTTTATAGATCTATAAATTCATTATTTATCGTTTGGATCGAACAGTTTCCTTAAACTATTTTGGTTGCAGTGAATCGAAAAATAAACCATTCAAATATGGTTTTAAGCTGCCAAGCTTTTTATTGCTTAACTTAATTATGATGTCGGACAGATATCAATTGGATTAAAATGTTATATGTTTTGTGTAGGAAAATAATCGCATCATTAATGGTGCCACTCTGTATCAGCTTTAAAAATTGGGCTTATTACTAATTGTGTGGTCAAATAATAATGATTTATTGAAGTTTACTCTATGTTTTAGGCATTATAAGTAATTTAATTTAATTTTGATTAGAACTAAGAAACAATTAATTATAACACATCTGGATAACAATCATTTGTTGCCAGAAATCGATTTATATTTAAGGATTATTACTTTGAAAATTAATGTTTGTGGAATTGTATATGTAAATTAAATAAGTATTTTAATTTTCAAATTTATGAAGTCCGAAAATATTTGTTTTAATACTTTTAAATATATTTCATAAGTGATTTTTATAGTGAATAGCTTTGCGAAATAATTGTCAAAAATTGATTTAATTTAATAAATATTTGATTTAAGGACCTATGCCCTTATGTAGCTGTTTTAGGATTGTTTCAAACTTTTGTAGGAATCTTCAAAATTTTGATTTGATTTTCTGTGAATATATTGTATTTGTATTTTAATATTTTCACATTTGTTTTTTGTTAATGTCACCGCCAAACGCGTCAGAGACTTCGTTGGTGTCTATAATTTGCTTAAATTTAGTTTTTTACTATTTATGTTAAATTTGTGGGCTTTGGTGTAGCTTTATCGTTTTAAATTTGCTTTGATAGCTTCGTTTTAGTACAAGTCCGAGTGTGAGCCGGTTTTACTGAGCTGAGCGATCAACTTTTTCAGTTTTTTTCTTGTTGATTTGCTGTTGGTTGATATGTGTGTATGTTTGTGTTTTTAGCGATATTGATTTTTCGCATTAAGCGCATTTCTGCGTACCGAATTTTCAAGGCCAATAATCGTCGTTGTCTGGAAATTGGGAGGGGATTCCTGGAGGGGGTTTATGCCGGTAAAGCGGGTTTCTCATTTCCACCGCCGCTCAATTAAACGGCGTCCATTTATTTGTTGTCATTTCTTTTTTCGCCATTTCACTTTGCTTTTCCGAGACAAAAAGTCCAAGTTTGAAGTGTCAACGCTGTCGGCCTAATCAATTCGGCTAACCGCTACTTGGGAGTCGGATGAGATGATTAGGCCATGTTTGCCGCCCGGTTATGCAAGTGTTAGCCATCTATCCGAGATTTGTGACTCGAGACTTGAGATTCGAGACTCGAGATCCGATCCGGTGGGGCGGTGGCAATAAGCCATCTCAGGTGTCGTCATCGCCGGGTTTCAACATATTTCTGCCGCTTTTTATATTTTTCCAGCCATTGTTGCTGCTGCTGAGCGGCAGTTCCGCCAATTAGCGACGCTTCCGCTGCTGCACACACATACTTTGTACGAAAAATAATTTTCTCAGCTTTTCCTTTTTACTTTTCTCGTCGTTTCATTTTACTTTGTTGCACATGCTAGAGCAAATCAGTTTTAAATTACCTCCTCTATCTTGTTAAGTTTTTTTTTGTTTGGCAAATCATTTTTTAATAAACATTAATAAATATAATTTTCCTATCAGGACAGGATTAGTTTCTTATTCCTATATCTAGAAACGCTTGAACCATGAAAGCTATTAATTTGTCATATTTTTTTTTTTTATTTATTTGTAACTATTTCATGTTTAAATTTAAAGTAGAAAAATTTATTTGGTTTTTGAAGTAAATTGTTTCCCATCTAACATTTAAAAAAAGTTATTAAACAAAATGTCGATAAATATTTTGAGTAAAGGAAATAGTTGTCTTGTCTTCATTATACTTTTAAAATTTATTTATTTTAAATTACATTTTTTTCATATTAAATTAAAAATAGATGCTGTTGCCCGATCGAACTAAAATAATTCAAGTCAAGGCCACTACTTTCTTTTCTTATTTTCGTTGTTTCATCAAGAAATAAATTTAATTTGAAAATTTTGCATAAATTTACAGAGCCAAAAGGCCATAAAACATTGCGCCGTTGGTTACGCGTCAGAAATTAACAAATTAGTGCGATGTTTCGCAAAGCAACGCCGTCAAACTTCCGAATTAGCCGCAAACCCCAATCAACGAAACCCCACCGAAAACCCAAACGGGCACAAATGCCCGAACATAAAATGTAAAATGAGACTTTCAAAATGTGTTTTCAAAATTAATGCCGCACATGCTCATGGCATGCAGATGGCCCAAAGTCGCTTGTACTTGCAAGTTGCAGCTCAGGCATTTGTTTGGCCAGCAGAATTTGTTCGTCCGCAGAGTTAAAGCAGCCACAGCCAATTGATGGACCATGCCAGATGGGGTCTCTAGAGCTTAGAGTCTTGGCATCTATAGTTTAAAGCCTTAAGTCTTTACTCTATAGCCATGGCAGACGCTTCTCACGCTTGTCAGAAAATGTCAGAAGTGAGGATGCCATGAATATTGGGGGGATAGAGATAGAGAGAAGCATCTTCTTTTAACCAGTCAGCATCGAAGCTTAAATGCCCTTGGTAATATTTCTAAGAAAGCGAAAAATAAGCTCAGTTAATTAATTAAAAATTGCCAAGTATTTTACAAGCGAAACTTTGAAAAAATTGTTAAAATATATGTTTCTATTGAATAAGATAAGAATAAGAAAAATAATAATGGTAGAGTGCTTACCTAAATTTAAAATTATTAAAATCGACGGCCTTTTCTTAATACATTTAAGGAGTATAAGCAATATCATAAAAATAATGTTAAAGGTATTAAAAAAAATACAACTAATATCTATTTTCAAAAGCTTTTTATTTTTATTATAATATTATAATAATAATAATAATATAATAATAATAATATAGAAGGTTTACTTTCATAAAACTAATAAATACTTAATAATTAGGCCTTGCCCTACTACACTTAAAGAAATATTAAATTAGCCAGAAATGCCGACAACGACTCAAAAAATATATATGTTTGAGCCCACTTTGCGGAAACAGTCGACAGAGTTTCGAGAGGGGTTTTTGAGCGGCGATTTATGGGGAATTTTGAGGAGAGTTTTGAGCTGGCTTGACCAATTGTCACAGGCGCCATGCCATCATGGTCATTGAAAAACGGTGAAAGACAAGCTGACCAAATGGACAGAGTTCGGGACAGCTGGATGGCTGCTGTGTCATCTTGGAGGCGCCTCTTTGTTCAGAGACCCTCATCCTCGTCCCCCCGGAAAACCCCGTTCCTTCCATGCAATACATGATATTTTTACCAGTTTTGCGTGAAGATGGCTTTTTACTTTTTGCTTTTTTGCCTGGCACTGATGACCTTTTACGTCGTCTTAAGACTGCCTTCACTTCATCACGGACTCGAGTTAAATAAAAAATTTGCATATCATTCATTTTCCTGGCGCTGAAAATTAGTTGCGAGGGAGGCCGAGATAAAAACAATTTACGATTATTTCGTCTGGGGTCTGGTCTTTCGTTGTCTTTCGTGGCCTTTCTACGCATCCAGCGGCCATAAATTGCGATAAAATGTCAAGGATTTACCGGGGTCCCAAAGTGAAAGACTTAAGCTTAAGATTAACCAACAAGGGAATCGACAAATCCAGACGGGTTGACAATTTAATTGAGCCTACAAGGTCGTAGACGGCCTTCTTTCACTCACTCGCTGCTGGAACAAGAAACAATCAACATTCAGCAATAAAAATTCCAAAAGTAAATCATTTAAAACCAAAAATTGAATTCGCCAGAAAAATCAGCAAACGTGTTTTTGCATAAATAAATTCTTTTCGCTGATTGGATCTGCCATTTACTGATTGTCTTTTAATGGCGTTTAAAGCATTTCAAATGCCCTCTGTTAATTGACAACGTATGATTGATGTGAGATACAGGTATTATGCAATAAATATGTTTTCAATTTCGTTTAAGGCAAAGAAAAGAATTTTGAATGACAGCAAAGTGGGTCACTGATTGTCAGTATATCCTGTTGGCCCAGACAAGGTGTGGGTTACTACTGATTTCAGAGTGGTTTTCAGCTCGTGTCTGCCAAATGTCGAAGAAAATCAATTAGCCGAGATCAAACATCCGGCTGACTATGACGATGGTGATGGTTATGGTGATGATGAGTCAAACCAAAATCTTGGCTGCGTGGGTTTGGCATGTAAATTGCGTCTAAGCCTCGTCTGTCTGTCTGTGTTGTAATGAGTCGAAAGCCCACACTAACCTGTTCACGAAGGAAGGAAAACATATCGGCATCTTTGGCATTATGTTTCCATGATTTTATTACCAGCTGATTATTACGATTTTATTAGATCAATTTAACAACATTGCTCTTTCTTCCCTAATTGACTTGGTTTATTTCGATAAATTCATAATGCGGTGAACAAATAGTATTTTATTTTTGTGCTCCCTAATGTACATACATAAATTATTGGTTCTACATGTCGTATGAGTATTTTTTCTCAAACAAAACAATTTAATCTATTAAAATAACACTTTTATAACATAACCTTTGAACATATAATTTTAAAATATTATTGTTATTATTTTACCCTTTTGAATAATACCCAACACCTTAATTTGACATTTGTAGTTCATTTCCATCCCGACTGATGCTGTTTTCTTTTTTTTTCTTGCCCGTTCCCCGTTTTAGCCATGTGCCGGCCATAAACCGAAGACACGCTTCCTAATTGAAAACAGAGCCAGCTAAATGGACGCGTAGCAAAAAGCCAAAAGTGCGAGCGAGAAGGCGAGAGTGTGTGTACGACAGAGAGAGAGAGAGCGAGCGAGCGAGACGATCGTGATTTGGATTTTTCAGCGTGTGATATCAAAACGGAGCGGACAGCAGTGAAGCGGACAAGGAAAAAAATTCAAAACAAAATTCACGCCAAAATGTCCAACGCCACAAAAATGGTTTACAGTTATAGAATTTTATGGCTTTCCGGCGTTTTACTAGGTGAGTAGTGACCTCAATAAACACTTCAATTTCAACTTCAAGTCGAGACAGAGACGAAGACGAAGACAGCGACACAAATTAAATGCTAAGTGCGTCGATTAAGTCAGTCGGTTAACCGACTCGTATCGAGCTTTATATCGGATTTTGGCCGAGTCACAGTGTTTGGGCCATGCGTGAGCCAAATAACTTAAGAAATTGGCCATGGTCAATGTGGGCGGAGGAGGAAGCCGCGAAAAAGGCAACACACCTGGCCAACTGGTGGAATTGCAGGTGCAAAATAGTTGGCCAAAAGGGTACTTATTGGCTTAAAAAGACAGGTACTCATTGGCTAATGAGCTTAAATATGGGTTCAAAATTGCACTACATATTTAAAAATGTACAAAAAATTATAAAAACTTCATTTTAGCTTTACTCATCAAAATATGAACAATATTTAATAATTATAAATGTTCAAAGCAGAAATACAATTTTCAAATATAATCTTTATTGGTCGGTCTACAACGTCAAGTACTTATTGTACATTACAAATTTAAACATTTGTCTGTGTTCTAATAACAATTGAAATGATTGTATAATATTAGACTTTTCTGATTCTTCGAGTATTGATTTGAAAATGTTTTAAAATCTACAAATCTTGATGTTTTATTACACTAATCACAATATCTTTTCTCCATTTTAAGGTCCCATCTTGCTGGCCGCCATTGCGGTTCAAGGCCAAGAGCCAGCCAGTCCAGTATTTCAAAATCACAAGACGAAGGAATGGACGAATTTAGATAACATAACATTCTCATTCGATTGCAAGAGGCGTTCTGTGGGCTTCTATGCCGACATGGAGTACAATTGCCAGGTGAGAGAGAGCAGAAATCAAAAGTCGGGGAAAATTATAGAGCGCATAAAGCTCAAGCCAAGCTTTGATTGAGGTTTTTCCAAGTGCCTGAAAGTATACCATATTTCAAGTATATCTTTTCAATCCCACAGATCTTTCACATGTGCGATGAGGAGGGCAATCGGATTCCACATTTGTGCGCCAACGAAACGAGCTTTAACCAGGAGTACAGAATCTGTGATTGGGACTACAACTTCAACTGCACAGAGTCACCTGTAAGTTTATCACTTACTTCTTATAAACAAATATAATATATTAATTGGTCATCTTTCCGCTAGAAATGGTTCTACCTGAACGAACTGACCTATGCCACAGATCCGCCAGATGAAGACGACGAGGATTACTAAACGATTTGCAATTAATTAAATATTTATTGTCTTTCCAAAAGAAAACAAACAAACTAATTAAATTAAACGCCGTATGAAAAACGCTGAGTAATTGTAACTGAAAAACAAAACATAAAACTGTGTGAAAATCTGTAAAAATTCCATGCAAATGAGATAAACTAATTTAAGCGCCTTGTTGAACGATTTTGTTGAGTTTCGTTTTGTACTTTTGTATTGTAGTCTAATTGATTGAGTCGTGCGAGAGGAGTCGTGTTGTGTATATAATGTATATAGAGATGGTCCCCAGTTCCATTTCCAATTCCATTCCAATTTCAAAACCATTTTATAAATTTCCATCTCAAATATCCGGAACAACCTCGGATGGGTCCGCCACATTATTGTATAATTTGCAAATAAACTTCGTATTTGTAAGCAATCTTAAACCGAAATAAAACAAAATCAAATTGCTATACCCTAATGGTTGTCTAATTAATTGGATAAACAAAATAATTTCACAATTTTCGGTAATTTGATATCGTTTGCTGTTTATTTTGTTCTTGTTGCAAACGTCACGGGAATCCGCCGAAACATCTATAAACTTATGGGTAAACAACCCCCTAGATTATTGGTTGCTGGCACCGAACGTTACTCGGATGAGTCAAGTTCAATGACGAATGTTCCACTAAGTGTTGGAGGCACAAAAAGTGTATTTAATTACGAAAATTGGCATCCGTCAGCGGGGCGTAAAATTGTCGCCTCCACTGTCACAATTTTATAAATTGCAAATGCCCGAGTTCAGATTTGTCAGTTTGGAAACGAATCTCCATCAATATGTCACATAAATTATGCTGTTTAGCTCTTCTCCTCATTGCAGTCCTTTTAAAGGTAAGTCAAAGGACATATAAAATGTATTGAACAGTAATATATTTTTATATTTCTTACAGCTTGGATCTGCTCAATACTACACCCCGTATAATCCTTACAACTCGCCCAGTCCGACATTCTCGAGTTTGAACAACTATTACTACCAGACCACGCCGTATCCTTACTACTACAGCACGTATACGACACCGAGTCCCTATGGCAATAACCAGATTCGCATTTGGCCATATGTGATCGGACAGTATCTGTATCCCACCTACTACAACACCAACTATTACAATCCCTACGCCTCCTTGAGCAATGCCAACTGGCAGAGATACTATGCGAATGTTTATGGAACAAATTTGGGAAAAAAGTAAACTATAACTTATTATAAGTGTTTTTTGTTTGTTAAGTTGTTCTGCCACTACAAATAAAATATATTTATTTTGATATAAAAGAATTCCTAAAGAGATATTTCTAAATTTATTGATGCCAGCTAAGAGGAACACACTAGAGATTTATGTTAAATGCTTCATAAAAAGGTCCTATAACTAACAAATTTGAATGATTTATCCAACATTGAATATCATGCTTACAAATATTTTTAATTTCTTTTAATTTCATTTCATTTCAAATGTTACCTAGGTGTTGTTATATATTGTTCACTCCCTAAAAACTGTTTCGTAAATTACAAAGGGCAATTAAGATAGCCTAATGGTGTGAAATGCTATGCCTCAATGAATTTGCTTAGTCACAAAAATTAGCCTATAAAAGGGAAATCATGTAATTGAATAGTTTTAGATAGCTTATTGCTCTGAAAGAATAAAGGGATATCTGAGAATTATGAGTCCCACATTAAAATGTAAATGTGACCAAAACAATATTGATATTCCAGAACTTAAGACTCAAAACAAAAAACCATAAAAGGTGTCAAAACCGTTAGGATTACGACGGCTTTTTGAATGGAACTCTGTGATATGGTTATTTTGGGGGGTATATATCTAAACAAGGCCTTTATGGAGTTCCGTTGACACTGTCATAGAGCAGCCAAACGAGCCGGAAAACCTGAACCCAGAGCTCAACCTACAGCTGAACCTGAACCTGAAACTGAACTCATGTTGGGTGTACTTAACGGTTTTCACAGACAATCGCTAGTTCCAGTTGGCCAGCATTATGTAATGATTTGGACAAACCTTTGGATTACACCTGGATTGCAGGCCCTTAGGAGCAATGAACCTGCATTGTTTATGTAAGCGATATGTGGCAACTTCATTTCATGTAATGCCAATAAAGTGTAAGATCATAAAATGCCCACCTGTTTATCAGATCTGACATTTATGCATTTTTGGGGAGCTATTATCAAAGAGAATGTTCTTCTGGTTAACTGTAACTTCCTTACGGAACTCTGACATTTATTGGCCACAAATCAAAACAAAATCGATTTGAAATGAAAGGGTTATCAATATACTTAGAACTTTAACCCAGCGCATGCGACATTATCATGCAAATTTGCTGAGACAGATGATCTTCAGGGAATGTGAATGGGTAAAGGTGCGTAAAAGACAGAGAGAGGGAATTTGTGTGAGAGAGAGAGAAACTGCGTAGTGGGGAAATGGGTCAAGACAATCCAATCACGAAACGCTTAAAGCGGCTTAAAGCGACGGATGGCTTGTAAAAGGTAGCCGGCAAAAATGTTTGGCATCGGTTTACCATGCAGGCGAAAAACACGAATGAGAAAGCCAACTAAACCCATTTATATCTCAAGGCCTCGCATTGCTCTTTTGGGGAAATTGTTAAATTATTTTGTTTTACCAATTAGTTGATTACCAAAAAGTGCAATTCACTTTTTGATGGAGTAAATGCAGCAGAACGTAATAGTTGCAGACGAACGCCTTTTCTCTCATTAGCCGAATGGATTTTTTGGGTTTTAAGTACTGAGTTCGTTAATTAATCTTGGCCTTATTTAAAAATATCTTACTAAAGCCTTTGATGGATTTCAAATATTTGAATTTAAATATTTAATTTTCATAAGATATATTATTTTCTTAAGGAGCAAATATATAAATTTATATACATTGTGAATGTAAGTAAGGTTTCTATAAGAATCAAATTATATAATTTCAAAAACATGGTTAACAGGTCTAAAATATTTTTGGATTGGCTTTCGATTACCTTTTTGTAAAAATTTTTTGATCCATTGAAAAATGCATGTGTTGTTTTGTTTAGATTTTAATGTAATTTAAATTATAATGTAAATAGTGGTTGTTTCTATTGTTATTGTTAAATTTTTCTGGTTAAGATTTGTAATTTATGATCAAAATTAAAGCTAAGCAAATTGATTGTTTCCGATTTTTCACCCTCTGATTATTAATTTTCAAAATTAAACCCCTTGAGACATGGAAAATATCTGTTTGACTCAAAGATTTAATAAAAGAGCAATGCATATGAGGGCACTATAGCCCAAGTACCACAAATTTTGTGACGTCAGTTGTGCGTCTTGTCACGTTCACAAATCGTTTTCATGCTCTGAGCCATCACACGACAATTCGTAATAAAGGCGACCGATACAGGAAGCCCAAAAACTAAAAAAAAATAAAAGAGAGGGACACCAAAGATAAAGCCGAGATGGAGACATTGACTTTGCAGTTTTTTGGTGACTGCTGCTGCCGTTTAGGGGAAATTGTGAAGAAAGTGTTGAAAACGAAATTGTAACTGGGAGAGCGGCGTGTGTCTCTGGCTCTGAGTCTGGCTTCTTGTGAGAGTGTTGGCCAAGCAAACAAAACACGGCGAAGAAGCGCCAAGTTGGCCAAGACTGGTCCGCATCTAGCAAAAGTCCGAGCAGAGAAGTCGGCCGAGGCAGCGACTTCAGCGGTGGATCGGTGGATCTTACCAGGTAACCGGGGCCAACTCAGATTGCCAGTCAACGGGCACATCTCAAGCGTTGCAGTCGCTTTCCATGCGAACTTGATTTTACCAAGCTATTTTACTCTAGTGCACTCCTTTTGGCCAACTCAAGTCTCGTGTATATTTATTTTTTGGCCAACAGCTGCGTGTCTGCCGTAGATTCGCGTGAAAGTGGTCCAAATCAATCACAAATAACTCAGGATACAGCGAGTGTGCTGGCAATTATCGTACACTAATCAAAGAGTCACAGTTTTTATTATGGTAAGTACGAAATCAGTTAAGACCAGTGGCCAATTACCACACAGGATACAAATATAGAGCCAATCGGAAGATACTTAAATTAAAAACAAACTTGTTTAAAAGAATTCAAATGATTATAAATTAATTGATTTAATGTCACTTATCTAATGTCAAGTAAATTGTTATACATTTTATTTTAAATAAGAGAATATTTAATATCCAATAGAAGTGGTCCAAATCAATCACAAATAACTCAGGATACAGCGAGTGTGCTGGCAATTATCGTACACTAATCAAAGAGTCACAGTTTTTATTATGGTAAGTACGAAATCAGTTGAGACCAGTGGCCAATTACCACACAGGATACAAATATAGAGCCAATCGGAAGAAACTTAAATTAAAAACAAACTTGTTTAAAAGAATTCAAATGATTATAAATTAATTGATTTAATGTCACTTATCTAATGTCAAGTAAATAGTTATACATTTTATTTTAAATAAGATAATATTTAATATCCAATAGAAGTATTTAGTGAGCGTAAAAAAAAAGTTTTCAAATTCTTACACAAAACATAAAAGGCAGACTAAATCTTCTACATTACAACAAAGTGCGTCTGTTTTTCTGGTGCATTGTTAATTAAAATTTTAAGCACGAGTCAACTGTCCCAAAACGCTTTTCCTCAGTCTATTCTTCAAAGAAAAGGAGCCACACAGCCCGCATACAAAAGATTTTTAAAGTGCTGGCCAAAAAGCCAGTGTGACAAATGCCAACAATTCTTGGCACAAAAATCACTTGTTTGTTTGGTTAGTTCAAAGCCAAACTTTCTTTTGAGGCGTGTTTTTTCATTCCAGTGCCAGTTTTCAATTGTTGCTTAGATCGCCGAGCTGTTATTAACCTGGCAAACTGGCAAACTGCAAACTGTAGTACACATTCACATTTCTGCCACATGGTCGTGTCATGAACTGCGACATTATATTGGCATTAGATAATGGTCGAATGGTTTAACCACGTGCCACTTAATTGCATCATCGGCAATGTTTTACTAACAACTTTACTAGTTCATACATTTAATTATGACAAGCCCAACAATAAACAAAGAAAGTCGTGCCTCAGATGCATAACTACCAGAGATAAACTTCGGATTTAATGGTTTTATGTATACGAAATGTAATAAAATCATAAAATGCCTGCTACACCCACGTGAAAGGAAAGTTAAGGGATTTTATGGCTACTCTAATTAATATTAGAAACAATAAATGTTGATTAGCTGAATTAACAAAATGCAGGTGTGTAATAATGTTTGTCACATTTCGGTTTAATTTAGCTAATTTCAGTGTTTTCATTATCAATGTTAAATAAACAACGAGTCAGACAGAAACGATTTCGAATTGTTGTCAAATTATTCAACTAATGTGATAAATGCATAATTTTGGGGAATTTTTAGAGTAAAAAACTTCCTTAGGTTTGTC